AAGATGGAAAAATAAAAACATGCCACTCTCTTTAATTCTCTCTTTCTCACAACTCCGGTTTGATCACACATCTCCTCAATACCAGATGCCCATAAACTTACCAAAATTATTCACACCTTGGCCCCATTATAATCATCAAATGGTTTCCATTGATTCATCAGTCTATGACTTCCTTTTAGGAAAAGCAGTAATATTAAAAACAAATTCTTAGAGATCCTATTACATTTTTTCTGAAAATGTTCTTTTGCCTATTTAATTTCTAGCCTATTCTTGCTTTGCTATGCTTTGTGGTCTTTTTTGCTTTTTCTTACTTGGGAAATTTCACTCCAGTTTTTAAAGACTTTAATACTATATTTGACTCTGTTAATTGGTTATTAGTGAATTTTCTTTTGGGAATTTGTCATTTTTAGTCATATCATTATTTTTGTAACCTACATTTTCACTAAATAATGGTTGTATTTGATTCTGTTTCGTTTATAAGTTGGAACACATATATCATAAATATCTTGTGTTTTCCTTACCCAATAGCTATATTAAGTTCAATTATTTTTTGATTCACCTTGCATAATGAGTGGCACTAGAAAAAGTATTCATTTTTGCTGAATTGTTACCCAGTTTTGTAGTCTTTTAAGCTAGTTGTGTCATTGAATGCTATCTTGAATCTTTGAAGGAATAGACAAAAACTGATTTAAATTATGAAAAATATAATGAAAAATTCATTTAAATGTAGAAAACAAAACTGCAGCTGTCTAAATTTAAAACAATCTGGTGACCTTGATCTAAAAATATTATGAATACATTTTGTTTCTCCAAAATAACATTGAGTTGGTTTTATATTTCCAAGGAAATATAAAGGTAATTGTGATGTTCTGTATGATTGCAGATGATTTTTTTTTTGTCAGACTCATCACACTTCAATTGCATCACAATGCAGACCAATGTCACTGAATTTGTTTTCTTGGGATTGTTCATGAACAAGGAAATGAAGATAATAAGTTTTGTATTCTTCTTGCTATGCTATTTAGCAATTCTTTTGGGCAACTTTGTCATCTTCATTACCATTTCCTAGAGCTATCTGATTCAACAACCCATGTACTATTTTCTCTGTCACTTGTCTCTTATGGATTTGAGTTATACATCCACCATCATACCCAGGCTGATCAGGGACTTACTTGCCAAAAGTAAAATCATCTCGTACAACAGCTGCATGACTCAGCTCTCCAGTCTTCATTTACTGGGTGGTGTTGAGATGTTCATCCTGGTGTCCACGGCCTTTGATTGCTTCATTGCTATTTGTAAACCATTACACTATCTCATAATTGTGAACTGGAAAAGATGTAACTTATTTATTCTGCTTGCTTGAGTGGTGGCCTTTTGGCATTCCATTGCCCAGCTATTCACGATTCTTAGTTCACCTTTCCATGGTCCTAACCAGATTGATCACTACATATGTGATGTGAAACCCCTCCTGCAACTGGTTTGCATGGGCACAAGTATCGTTAATTGCTTAGTCATTGCAAATAATGGGATGGTAGCCTTGGTTACCTTTTTGGTCTTGATCTCATCTTATATTGCCATATTATATAACCTTCAAACATATTCATCAGAAGGTAGGAGAAAAGCTCTCTCTACTTGTGGTTCCCACATCATGGTTGTGGTCCTTTTCTTTGTGCCCTGTATCTCCATTTATGTCCCTCCACCCAGTGCTGGCAATAATTTCAAGGATATTTTCCATATTTTATACAGTAATTGCACCTATGTTGAATCCTCTCATTTATACACTGAGAAATGCAGAGATGAAAAATGCTATGCAGAAGGTATGGTCCAGAAAAATAAATTTATAATTCAATTTAAACATATGAATTTCAGTTTGTCTCTCTCTCCTGCCCCAACATATCCACACATTGGAACCTGGTGAAGATTTGAGCACTTTCCATCAAACTGTGAGAACTAAATGCTATTTTGAAAAGCCTAACACTTTCTAGTTGACAATAAATGAAACAATCAATTACTGAAGAGAAAACAATTTATTGATGTCTTACTATGTGTGCTCAGAAATAGAGATGTGAATGACACCCCACCCCAGTCTACCCCTTTATTCAAGAAGTTAACATACCAATATTGGTGATAACATGAGTAGGGGAATGGTAGCCAAGGAAGGATACTTTGTTCCAAAAAGTTTCAGATATTAAGTGAAGTCATAGAGGAACACAGTGTCACTCTTTATCCAGGAATAATAGAAACTTTGCCTTCTTTTAATACCTCTTTGTTTTTGTTATTTCCTCTTGAGTAATAAAATCCATGTACATGGAAACAGGACATGTCTTAATGTGTATAGGAAGTGCAATCATATGATTAAAAAAAAACTATCCCCTAGATTTGGTAAACTTAGAAACAGTGCATAATAATAGATAAATGATTGTTCTTGGAGTCAGGAAGATGAGACTTCAATTTGTCTGATGATTCTGAGTTGTGGGGCCACGGCCAAATCACTTTGCCCCTCTAAGGCTCAATTTCCTTATCTGTAAAATGTGGGAAATAGTACTTGGAAAATCTGTCTCACAGTTTTATTAATGCTTAAATAAGATTATGTACGGTGCTTCGAAAACTTTGAAGTGCTATATAAATGACAGTTTTTACTGTAAGGAAACAAATCATATCACCTATGTCAATTATGGCTATCTATATCTGTTTTGAATCCCACATCAAGTGCGATTTAGCATTTACATTTAGCAGAATCTGAGAAATGAAATATGAACAGTGGTAGCTACTTAAGAGAGTTGCTATGAAGATCACATGAAGGAATATAACATGAGTACTCAATGCACTTCAATATAATAAAGAAATAAAAGGTAAGCTGTCATGAGATAAAGATTGGCAAAATGGATGGCCATGAACCCAGGAAGACCTGGGTTCATGTGCCATCACTGAATCATACTTTCTGCATTATCCCAGATACATCATTTCTTGTCTGAGGGCTCTAGGAATTCTCTAAGATTATGTGTTACAAAGACGATGCCAAGCTGAAGTGCTACAGGGATTATCCTCATTTTGGAGTTCTCTATGTCAATAAATTCATGGATCCAATCATCTTCATCATCATCATCCTCATAACCACTATAATCATCATTGTCACAATTATTTTTACAGGTGGAGAAACTTGTGGCAGAGAATAGAAATGATTTGACCAAAGTGTTTTTACACACACACACACACACACACACCAGGAAAATCCCCCCAAAAGTGTGCCAATGTTTCAAATTAGTAGTGCTTCTGGGTTTTATGATAGTAGCATGAAAAATAATTGAGAAGAGGGAAGGGTTTAAGTGGGGAGGAAAAAATGTGTTCAGAATGTTGGGTTAGTGTTATTTTAAATAAAGGAAATTCAGAAAACCACTCATAGAAACAAAAAGAAAAGATTGCATTGGAGATGAGGACTAATGTTACAGATTTATGAGACATCATTGGAGACTTGGTGGAAATGTTGAGATGGAATGATTTCCAAGATGGTGTGAATATGAAAGGAAAAAAAAATATTGGGAGGAGAAGTAGGCCTGAGAGATTTAAGTAGTAAAGAAGTGAGAAGAAGGTGTGTCTGGAAAGGAAATAAAAATCCAGGAACACTGGCAAATAACCAAAATACTATAAAAAAAAGTCAGGAAGCAAATATAAATGGTAGGGGTCAATGGGGTTCCAGTGGAACCAATTCCCAAATCAAAATTATTCCAGATAAAAATGATCCAACCTAAAAATCATTCAGTTTTTATATATCAGCTAATTATTATTTTAATAAATTAACAAACTATGTTAATGTGTTTTTTTTTTTACTCCTGTGCATCTTATATGCTACTTTATGTTGTAGACATAATGAGGTTTAGGAATCAACTACTCCCATATGTGGATTATGTGGAGTGATAGTTCTACTTTTTACCTGCTATTGGTTAGTTTGCCTTATTTATTCTGATCCTAAATTCTAAGGGAATCAGTTGTGTGGGAACTAGGTACATTCTGGTATTTCATTATTATTTACTAAATTATCAATCTCTCTTTCATTGATCATACAATTAGCTCCTAATTACCACACAAATTTATTAAATACCAGTTATTAAACTAAAGAAACTTATTTTATCATAATGTTGGACTCATTTTGTTTTACCTCAATCCCACTATTTAAAATTTTATAAAAAAACTAATAAATAAAACTTGCAGTTGATTTTATGAAAATGATAAACCATTGGATAATTTGATTTTTTAAAAAAGAAAAAAAGGAAACTGAAAGTAGCAACAATAAGAAATATCAAAAATGAACAGGGTTTCATTGATAAAATTTTATTTAAAATTAACTTCTTCATGTTAATAGACAATCCAATGAAATTGGCAGCACAAGTTCTGGAAATTCTTTGAGTCTAGTGGTCCCTTATTTTGTTTTTGTTTTTATTTTAGATTTCATTTTCAGTACACTGTTACAAAGCAAAAGCATGAATGCACAAAATAGTATCAGTCAATATCAAGCAATCAGTAAACGTTTATTAAGAATTCTCTATATGCAAGCATTGTAGTAAACTCTGGGGATAGCAAAAGAGACAGAAGACAATTCCTGCTCTCAATGAGCTTACAATCTAATGATCCAGTATTACAGAGGGTATCTTGTATTAGTATTCTAGTGGAAGTAAACTAATGTATATTATAAAAGTTAATGCGCTAAGGCTTATATTGCGAACAGGAAAATTGGGACATAATAAACACTTAAAAAACACGTGACTTGGAAGAAGAATAAAAAATATGGACAGAATAAAAGCTTGATACTCACAATTAACTTCCTTCACTAAATAATGTATTTGTCTTTTTCTTTTTCATCACTACAGTCATGCCTATTACCTTGCCTGTGATCCAATATTGATTTTTGCCCAAGTGAGGCTTATTGTAGAAACATTTAATTCTAAAATTACATTCCAATAACCAACCCCTTTTTCCTTTCATAAAATATCACAAACAACAAATTAATACAACTCATTTAGATTTACTTTCCCCCAGATATTTTGACACCATACCTTTCTCATGGCATTTTTCATCTCAGTATTCCTCAGAGTGTAGATTATTGGGTTGAACATAGGAGCAATGATGGTATAAAATAGAGCAAACACTTTATCCTCTGTATAGGTGGTGGGAGGTCGAAGGTAGGAAAAAATTGCAGGTATGAAAAACAAGACAACAACTGTGAAGTGAGACCCACAGGTGGAGAGAGCTTTCCACCGCCCTTCAACTGAATGTGTTCGTAGGGTCCATAGTATAATGGCATAAGAAACAAACAAGATCACAAAGATTACCAAGACAATTATCCCTGAATTGATGACAACAAGAAGACCAGTGGTGTAGGTATCTGTACAGGCAATTTTCAGTAAGGGGAAAATGTCACAGAAATAGTGATCAATTTCACTGGGGCCACAGAAGGGTAACTTCAGAGTCATGGACAACTGGGGAATGGAGTGAGCAGCCCCACCAACCCAAGCCACTAAAATGAGAAGGTTGCATTTCTTTCTGCTCATGATGACCATGTAGTGGAGAGGTTTACAGATGGCAACATAGCGGTCAAAGGCCATTGCAGTCAGGATGAAGACCTCGATAGAGCCAAAGAAGTGCACACTGAAGACTTGGAACATACAGTAATCATAGGAGATGATTTTTCTTTCAGTTAAAAGATCTCCAATTAGTTTTGGTGTAACACTGGACGTGTAGTAGATATCCATAGAAGACAAGTGACCGAGGAAATAATACATTGGTTGGTGGAAAAGATGACTGCAACAGATAGAGATGAGGATGACAAGGTTTCCTGTGAGAAGACTGATATAACAGAATAAGAAGAAGAGAAAGCAAAATATCTGGATGTTTTGGTCATAGGAAAGTCCAAGGAGGATGAATTCTGTGACATTGCTCTTAGGCCTCATTTTGCTTTTGGTTCTTTATATTCAGGATTAAGTTCTATATCTGAAATTAGAAGAAATATTATTTTAATGCAGGCAAATTCATGTAAAATGTCTTTTATTCATTAGAGTTATGAATATCTTCATTACTTTAATTAAAAATGTTATATGAGAAATGTTCAGAGATGTGGAACTAAATTGACAACACACTTTGAGATCATAATAGGAGATGAATAGCCTTAATAGTCGGTTTTTACCCTGGAGAAGAGAACTTAGGCATGTCATGCTGTCTTCAAATATTTAACATGCTATCAGATAGAAGAAAATTCACACACATGCATAATACACACAAGTACATATATGTAGCAGTGCATGTACACATGTACGTATTATGTACACATTCAGCTATGTGTATACATATAGGCTTAATATACTTATGTATATTGAAAGAGAAAAAGAGTTTAAGCTCAAGGAAATGAATTATTTTTTTCCTAAAATTATGTCTGTCTAAAAGCAAAACTGGATGTCTCCTCACATAATTCATTCTCCCTCATAAGAAGTTTTCAGATGAATGCTGGATATTCATGGGTATTATATGTTTTTCAGGAGACTCTTGCTGAGGCATAGATTGAATGAGCTTAGAAGAGATGTCAGATATAACTTAGTTTTGGCAAAATGAGTCTTAAAAATAAACAATTTCTAAACATTTAAACATGATTTAAAAATAATTTTATTGTCAGTGGTGTTAATGTATTATTTATTGATGTTAATTGACCTTATCAATCCCTTAAAGCTAAGTGATGTTTTCATCGCACAAATATTTGCACTCACCAGGTCTATTTCCCAGCAATAATCAAACTGAGCTAATTATTTCATTGATAGTTATATAATAAGGGCATTGTCTAACAAAATAAAAAAAATACATTCTTACTATTACAGGTATGGTCCAAACATTAATTTTTCCATTTATCCATTGTGGTATTTAATGTGAAAATTCTCTCCAAGTCTAAAGTATAAAAATTAAATTATGAAGGAAGAAAAAAAATAAACAGAAAATGCTATACTCACTCTAGGCATATTTGAAGAATGGAACTAGCTTCTAAAATTGAATGTGACACTGAAGTGGATTATATGGCATAAGGAAAAGGTATAGGAGCCTACTGTACTGCCAGAAATGACCCTCAGATCTCCTTCTAGGTTTTTGTGGTACTCATAGGTGAGCCACTTCAGTTGAGAGGAGAAAGAAATGCAATATCAGTGTTAGAACGGACCTCAGAGGGTATATTTTTGTTATTGTTCAGTTATTTCAGTTGTGTTTGACATTTCATGACCCCATCTGGGGTTTTCTTGGCAAATAATGGAGTGTTTTGCTCTTTCCTTCTTGAGTTCAATCTGCAGATGAGGAAACTGAGGCAAACAATGTTCAGTATCTTGCCCAGGGTCACCCAGCTAGCAAGTGTCTGAACCTGTATTTAAATTCAGGTCTTCCTGACTCCAGGTTCCACACTTTATCCAGTGTACCACCTAGCCAGTTCAACCCATATCCAAAGCAGAATATGTCCTAGAACAGTGGTGTCCAAATCAAATTGAAATGAGGGACACTAATCCACAATAAGGATCCATATGGGTTTCATGCTGACCCAGTTTAAAATGTAAGATCAGTTATGTTTTATTATATTTTTCATTTATTTTGTTAATTATTTCCCAATTCCGTTTTGATCTGATTTGGGCCACAGTCAGGTGTGTTTTTGGACACAAGCCAACCATAGGCCATGTGTTTGATGCCTCTGCCCTACAACAACCTTAATAATTAATCTCACAGCTTTTGTCTGAAGACCACCAATGAATGAGAAGATCCTTCTCCTGCAATTTGTCCATTCCACCTTTAGACCTTTCTACTTTTTTTAGGATGCTTACCTTCTACAGGATGATTGCCATTGGACAGATATCCCATAATATTTATTCCTCACGCTGATAAGTCAAATGTCAAGAAATCTGAATAAATATTAAATCTCATTATTATGTGACATTGGACTTAATATTTAACTTCTCTGACCTCAGTTTCCTCATCTCAAAAAGGAGTGACTTGGACTGGATGGTTTCTGTAGTCTCCTCCAAGATCTAGCTTCATTTCATATTATTCATGTGTTCTACAGCTTTGTTTCTCAGATCTTCAGTTTTTTCATCTTCAAAAGGAGAGTAATATTAAAACTACTCCACATAGTTTGAGGATCAAAGGAGATAATGTGTATAAAGTTATTTGTAAGCCTAAGTTTGGGTGCATAAATATCAGTGACAAAGAAGGCAACAATTGTAACAATGGTGTTGCTGCTGCTACTGCTGCTGCTGCTGATGATGATTGCATTGAATTGGTTATAGGTTGTGCCTCCATTGGAGTTCTCCCACAAAAATCCTTCCTAGGTCTTCAGGAACTTTTATACTACACAAGGCTGTTGTCAGGATTAAGTGAGAATTTATGTGGAAATGCTTTACAAACTATAAAGTGGGCCATAAATATGAAATCATTATTGTTATTAAAAAAACTCATGCCAGTTCTTCCTACTTTAAGAGGGAGAGCAATACTTGTGAATAAACAGTTACAAATGGCTACCAAACCAAAGCTTCAACCTTTCCATTGACTGAATTTTTTACCAAAAATTTTAACAAAAGAAAAACTCAATCCCATGACATTTTTCTATTCCTCCCTCCCCTCCATGGAGGGATCAGTGACACAGTACTTGGTGATAATTAATGCCTGTAAAACAGTCACTGCACACACAAAATAGGAAAATCACACACACATTCACACACACACACACACACAGACATGCCCCAATCCTATTTCATAAGCTTCAAAGAGGGAGAAGGTATAGATAAATATCAACATAAATAAGCAATTCAGGGAAAATCAAAAGAAAATGCAAAATAAAATAATATGTTTTGTGATTTGGAGATTACTTATAATTCATTTGAGGTTAATAGGTACTAGATAAAAGAGCAAAGGCATTAGACTTAAAATGTAATTTGGAAATAGGCTTGATTCCAAATTCTATTTCTGGGACTTCCCAGGTATGGGACTTCAGGAAAGAAAATTCAACATTTCAGTTAGAGTTTTCACAGAGTCAGCATAGGATACTCTAAACAACTCGAGATTTGTAATTAATAAAAAAAAAAAACTCTGTGGTCAAAACCATATTTTTTCACTTCCTGGCTTTGCAATCTTTGGCAAATAACACTCCTCATTTTTTTTCTGATTTTGTCACCTGTAAATTTAGAAGCCCTCAATTAGATTCTTTCTAGATTTCTTTGTGCTTTAACCTTCCATGTTTTTGTTAAAGGAAAAGGAAAACAAACAAATACATGAGATAAATAAAAGGATTCCTTTGAGTAAAAGCAATTCTCAGTGTGGAAGGAATGCTATGGTTGGAAATAAGAGCTAGCTGTGTGACTGTGGATAAATAAATAACTTCTCTCAGCCTCTATATCCTCATCTATAAGATGTGGATGATGGTGATAAAATTGTTGCTTCTGTCCATCCTTTTATTTAATTTAAATTGTTTTTGGGAGGTGGCCTAAATATTAAGAACACAAGGTGATTTATTTAGAATACACGTTCCATTGTTCACAAGTACAATTCTTGCTTAGTGAACAACATTGATTGGTATTCTATCTCCAGAATATAAACTCAGTTTCTAATTGTGTCCAGTTTGGCAAAATTAGCCATTATGAAGTACAAAATATTACCTTTTAAGAATCATCTCCCTCCTAGCTTGAGAGAAATGAAATGGTTAAAAATGTGTGAGGCAGTTTCAGGAAGTAACTTACAAAGTTAGAAATTATAATAAAAGAGACAAAAATAGAATTGACATGTCATTCAATAAAGGATGAAGCATCTTCAAGAGACACATTTTCTGACTGCCTTCCTTTTAGACCAACATTATGTCATTAAATATAATCCTTACAACATCTGTGAGACCCAGGAGGAGTGTCAGTTTTGTCGTTTATCTTCATTCAGTTCACCAGATTAACAATATTTACACACACACAAACACATATACACATTTTGTCTCTTCTAGAAAATGAAGTAAGGCAATGTGTTAGAAAACTTACTGCTGTTGAATGATGAATCCAAGGGATTTCAGGGTGATGTTTAAATCAGTCCCTTGTATCCAACACTCCTTTATTAATCAAGCTGAGTTGAAGCCATCATTATAATTTTACTTAGCCCTGAGATTATAAATGGCCACTGATCAAATCATATTTCCTGACCAGTAATGATTAAATATGATAAAAAGTTGGTAATGTATAATTAGCCTGGAATCTAGTTGCTGTATCTGTATCCCAACATCTGTAGCTTAAGATTTCACTGCCCTATATACCTACTGGTCATAAGCCTTACCAGTGGCAAAGTTGTGTTCCACCTACTGGGCAAACACACCCTTCAGAAGCTTACTTTAGTAAGAACTCTGATTAAATTCAGGTGTTTATAAAGCAGACATAGACGGAGCAAGACTAGTACAAATCATGAAGAAATGAAGAAACTGAGAACAAGTAATTATTTGCCCAGCACTGGAAAGGTGGCTGAAGATGGACACACATCTTTTCATCATAAATTTGTAACTCAGAAATAAAGGAAGAACATTTCTGGATTGCAAAGTAAAATAAATATAACATTCAACTCTCTGAAGCACCAGTGTGAAAAAAGGGAAAAGAACATCTGAGCAGATTCTAATATGTAAGCAGAAGTATTTATAAGACTTTGACAGTCTGAAAAAATGATCCTTCCAGAGGGAGTTTATAATGTTTTTTTTTTAATTAAACAGCACTAGTCCAACTTCATGCCCCTCCAGGGCATATGGACAGTTACCTCCTGGTGCCATGTGGTAGAGAGGTAAGTGCATTGTATTTAGAAACACAGATAATAAATTAACAATTTTTAGGTCTTGCCTGTCTGCTATAGTATTCTACCAAATCTTCCTGACTTGGCATCAGGAAAGTCATAACAGCAAGTGTATCTATCTGCAAATTTACAAAACTGC